GACAGGTGGTCCAACCATTCATACCTATCCCTCCAGCACTGTGACCTGTCCCATAGCTGGCACCCATGAAATCACAGGAAGTTTACTCTTAGTAGTCAAAAAAAAGGAAAAAAGAAAAAAGGAAAAGGCTTCATTTACTTTAAGTTCACTTGGCTCTGAATTTTCTCTCCAATGCTCCCCCCAACCCCTACTACCATCCACTCCTTTTCTTGTCCACAGGCTTCTAGTCAATCTAAATCACTGTCAGAGCTAACTTGTTGAATAAGCTGAGGCATGTATGGAAATATAGGCTTAAAATTTGTCTTTTCACAGCTTTCCCAGACCATGTGGACACTGCTGCCCACCAGACTGTGCAGTGAGAGCTTGCTGTACATGATTCTATGGGGTTGGAACTGGAGGCTGGACATCTCTGGTGCTCAGTTTTGTCTTCACTACCAAATCTATCCTGTATTTCTCACCTAACCCCTGCTCCATCCCAATCACGTTTTTAGTTTTACTATCCTGCATTCCAACTTTCTTTCTGATTCAAATTTCCAAACTTTGTTGACTCATCTGTTGCATTCATGGTGTCCCCAATCCTATAAATTCTCATTGCTTTCCAGATTTCCATCCCACCTCAACAATATTCTGATTTTTTAAATCTACTTACCTTTATTCCATGTTATCTTTCCTAAATATTCTGTCAGCCTGTACATCAAATGCTTTCTCTTGTCCCTGTGTCAGGGCACTGGTATGAGTCTCCTGAAACTCACTCAATCCCCACCCTGTGTCTCACCCCTCACACCCATCCAGGTCTGAGAGGACAGCAGGCAGCATGATGCCACAGCAGGTCAGTGGCTCCTCTTTCAGCAGGTAGGAAAGCCCTTTACTCAGATTCCTTAATTCAATCTTGGGACACTCCAAATTGCCCTTATGCATGGAACCCTAGGTCCCATTTAATTTATATAATGCCCAACATACCCCAAAACTGACTTTTACAATTACTCAGCCTTCCTCTGAGCAAACTCCATGCCTCCATGCTTGTCCTTTATGCCCACCACTGTTCATTCACCCCGCAAGCCAATTCTAGCCAAGCTTCCAAGTATTGGATTGACCAAAAAATTTGTATGTTTTTTTTTCTGTGAAATAAAAGACCTTTTTTTTTTCATTTTCACCAATAGCTTTATAGATTAGGATATTTAGAGTATGTCAGCTATCTCCCAAATGATAGAATGTTGATTGTTCTCAATTAATGTCTCTATTTGATTGCTACCAATATCAACCAGTCTATCTGACCATGGAGCATCATCTAGCAAGAAATCTCTAGCACAAAACTTTGCAACCCACATTTTGATACATTCAATTATTCATAGCACCTTTGCCATACGCTGCATAAACCATTATTTGTGTTTAAGCTGCATTTTTACCTTATTTATTTATTTATTTATTTATTGAGGGAAGGGAGGGGGGAGAGAGAGAGAGAGGGGGAGAGAGAGAGAGAGGGAGAGAGAGAGAGAGGGAAACATCAATGTGCAGTTGCTGTGGGTTATGGCCTGCAACCCAGGAATGTACCTTAGCTGGGAATCGAACCTGGGACACTTTGGTTCCCAGCCCGCGCTCAATCCACAGAGCTACGCTAGCCAGGGCTCATTTTTACCTTCTTGAAATGATAAAGCATGATACACTAAAATGTGGCATACATTTTTCCATCTTCAACATTAAAAATACTAAACAGAAATTCATCAATATTGATCAGTTTTTAAAATGCACATTGATAAGGCAGCTGTCACAATGCAATGTAACCAATTTGTTTCAATTGAATTTTAAGACAACTAAGTACTACTAGAACCACCTTATGGGAAAAAAAACAAATGATATTTTGGAAAAAAGCAAATGAAATTTTGGTCAACCTAATGTTTTAACCAAATATCTCAGAGACCACAAGGAGTAGGAAAAAGGAACAGACCCAGAGGAGAGTTTATTTCCCATTTCACAGACTCTGGTTGTGAACTCTCCAAGGACAGGCACACAGAGTTGGTAGAAACAACAAGAAGACAACAAAATATCTGGACACTGCTGTCTGGCCTGAGCTCCAGGCAATAAGGAAACCAAGAAAGGATGTCTAAGGTAGACCTGCCCATGGCTTATGTGACAGGGACCTGGATGTTGACTAGAGTTGTTGAGTTTTACGACAGAATATTATTAAAAATCTCCATGACCTTGTTCCTTGAAGGTGCATCAAAAGTGTGTGTGTAATGAGAACACAGCTGACAGTCTGCTGCAGAGGGGTCCCTTTTCAGGCCTGGATGGGTTCTCAGATTCTGGGACAAAGGCTACTTAGAGGAAACCTGGGACCCCAGAATAATATGGGTAGTCAGGTAATCTTTTGCTGTGGACACCAAGCCAGAAGCAAGAACAGAAACTTAAAAATTCTTATTTGGAAGAATATAGTCAGATTTTTAAAAATTGGAAGATTTGAAAATATGGTAAGGATTGAAACTGTAAGCAAGATGACAGGATCAGCTGATTACAGGTAGATGATGTCAAAGTCAAACATGTATCAGATAAAATTAAAAAGGCAAAAAAATATTGTATCCAAGACCTTGCAAAAAAGGGCAGTGAAACTAAACTCAACAACCCAGAAACTAAAAGCTGGGGAGATTTTAAGCACCTCAAAAAGGAATAATAGGGATCTGTGTTTGATGACTGGCTTTGCACAAATGAAAGTAAAACTTCTCATGGAATCCTTACAGGAGGTCCTTTTACATCTTGGTTGTAAAGGTCCCCCACCCAAGTGAGGCTCTACCCTCCCTCAGTGACTAGGGCACAGGAACATCACGAGGATTAAATTTTAAAGAAGGTGACTGAGGCTCTTGAGACATATTATTTTTGTAATAACACTGGCAAGAAGCTTTTAAGGAGACATGCATATTTCAATAAGGCAGAGAAATAATTATCACTTACAAATTGTGATTACCTTCCCAAAGGAAATTCTCTAAAACCCTGGAGGTCAGAGGCCTGAGTTAACTCTGAGTTAACATTTAGGTCATAACAAAACTGCTCTTTACCCAGTGGACGAAAAAGCAACTCATCTCCTTCAGCCAAAATACATTTTGCATCTACATCAGTTCCCGCAATTGATAAAGAGATCAACATAGCTGACAGTCCATGAACAGAGCGGGAATGTGACTTCCCAGAAGGCTGTGCTTCTGGAGTTTTTATGGTTCCATTACATTTCTCTGCACAGTCACCTTCCTTTTGGTCAAATTTCATCACCAAAGAAGAAGAGTCTTCTTGATCACAAACATGACTGCTGTCACCTGATTTAGCCTGACTGGTTACCTAAGTGCAAAGGAGCTAACATTCACCACATGGTTTGCTCTGATGAATGTTTTCCTATGAAATCTGAGAATAAATTTGTAACAGCCTATTGAGGTTAGGAAGCTTCACACTCACACTTCACCTACAGTCTCTGCAGGTTTGGGTGATGCCCTCATATCCAAGAGATATCAAGATATCCATCAGATCCAACTTAGCTTTATAAAGAGCGAGGTCATTTCTGATTCTGTGAGCATCAATATGAACTATGACATTTGAGCCGAACCTTGGTTGTATTACCAATGTTTCCATTTATATCCTATTAACAAAGAGGATAGTGTCATACTGAGGGTATGCAAAAAGATTTCTTGCCATAAGAAACAAGAATACTCAAAAACACTTTAGAAATTATTTGTGAGATATAAAACAGGAAAAAAATTCACTGCTGCCACCCACATGGGTGTCCTCCTGTCAATTCCTGTTGTCTACACAGTGTCCACGTGCCCTCCACCTATCCCTGGGAAGGAGGGACAGAGATTGGATTCCTATGAGCTCATCAAGGGCTCCCACTGGTAATCACACAGCCAGTGACCATCCTCTAAAGTACTCAATGTCACTTCCACTGTGGGGGCGGTGAAACTAAAACCAACCAGAAAGAGTGGATAAAAGATAAGACTCTTGTTTCAGCATCACTAGCCATCAGAGAGATGCAAATTAAAACCACAACGAGATAACACTTCATACTGGTGAGAATGGCCATCATAAACAAATCAACAAACAACAAGAGTTAGAGAGGATGTAGAGAAAAGAGAACCCTAGTGCACTGTCGGTGGGAATGCAGACTGGTGCAGCCACTGTGGAAAACCATATGGAATTTCCTCAGAAAACTAAAAATGGATCTGCCTTTTGACCCAGCAATTCCATTACTGGGATTATATCCTAAGAACCCTGAAACACCAATACATAAGAACCTACGCATCCCAATGTCACAGAAGCACAATTTACGATAGCCAAGTACTGGAAGCAACCTAAATGCCCATCAGTAAATGAATGGATCAAAACACTATGGTACATTTACACAGTGGAATTCTATGCAGCAGAAAGAAAGAAGGAGCTCCTACCTTTTGTGACAGTGTGGATGGAACTGCAGAGGATTATGCTGAGTGAAATAAGCCAGGCAGTGAAAGACAAGTCAAGAAAGGTGATCTCACCTTTAAGTGGAACTTAATCAACAAAACAAACAAGCAAGCAAAATATAACCAGAGGCATTGAAATTAGGAACAACCTGACAGTAACCAGAGGGGATAATGGGGGGAGGGAGGAAGGGTTTTCAGGAACAACTATAAATTACACATGGATAAAACCAAGGGGGGCGGGGGATGTGGAATGAGGGGAGGAAGGTGGGGATGGCCAGGGTGGGAGGGGAGTGGTGGGGGGTAAATGCAGACAACAGTACTTAAACAACCATTAAATAAATAAATAAACAAACAAACAAACAAATAAATAAATAAATAAAACCAGAGATAGAATCTAGTGTGAAATGTGACCTTGAGTCAACTATAATGACAACATAAGTTCACATTTTTCAGCACTTATTGACTTAATGCAAGTCTTCTAGAATCTCTCCACCTTCACAAGAAATCTATTTAAAAGATGCAGAATATTTTATTCAGACTTTAAAAACAGAGAGAGAAAGAGGAGAGTTACTCATATTTTACATTCAGCTGGAGGGGCACACTATAAGCAAAAGTGATAGGGTTTGAGGCCTCACACTGATAATTTCCAGCATCTTCTCTTCTGACAGGGTTTATGGTAAGGGTTCTGCTTTGCCAGGACAGCTTCATCCTCTCTGTAAGTGGCAGATTCATGCCATTGAAGAACCACTGTATGGAGATTCCTTTTGTGTAGCAGGTCAAGACCACGGCATCCTTATTCTCAGTGACTGTGGTGTTGCTGGCTACAAGGATGGCCATTATCACAGGCTCTGTAGGGAAATAGAGAATGTGAATGATGGAGAATGAACATGAGACATGGAGTTATGCTGTCTTCTCTGAGATCTCAGCCTCTCACTGCCTACAGTGAGCTCTGTTAAATTCGGCAAAGGATATTTTTGACCTCTGTGGTGGGAAAGCAATCTTTATTCAGGGGACAATGTATAAGAATAGAAAGCATAGTCATTTCCTCCTGACCCCGGACCACCATCTGATGACCTCTCACTTGTTCCTTCAGGCATTACTTTAGCACCAGCACTTGAAACCCCTTCCTAGCCCACATGTCCTATAACCTATCATCGGGTAAATTGTTCTAAATGTTTCTGAAAGGCAACAAAAAGCAAATCAATAGAAAAACATCCAGATGTATGGAATTGGAAGGCCCACACCATTCCACATATTTGCTAAAATTACTGTAAAAAAAACAATGTCATTTGTGCATAAATTAAATAATTCATTCTAGAATTTATGTAGAATTTCAATGGATCCCCCACATGGTTGCAGTGATGTTACAAAAAAAGAATAAACCTGGAGGTCTCACACTTCCTCATTTCAAAGCTTACTGTGGAGCACAAGTAACCAATGTGACACTCGCATAAAACTTCTATTTATCAAAAGACAAAATGAAATCCTTTTGAGGAAAAAAAAAGCCAAGTAGATCAAATCCTAAAGCTAAGAACTAAAACTATAAAACTCTTAGAATAAAATATAGGGGGAAGCACTATAACATTGGATTTGGCAATGATTTCTTACAGATGACACTAAGAACACAGGCAAAAAAAGAAAAATTAGATACACTGCTTTTTGTCAAAATGAGAAACTTCTGTTCATCAAAGGACAAAATCAACAGAGTGAAAGGTGACCTGTGGAATAGAGAAAATACTGTGCAAATCATATGTAAGATGAGAAGTTAACATCCCAAAAAGACAAAAAACACCTACAACTCAAAAACAACAAAACCAAATAACCTGGTGAAAAAATGGGCAAAGCACTGCAATAGACATTTCTCCAGAGAAGACATACAAATGGCCTATAAGCACAGGAAAAGATGCTCAACATCACTATCATTTGGAAAATGCAAATTACATCTCAAGGCCATGCTGTTAGTGATGTTAAGTAAAGTAACTGAGCTGTGCAGGTAACAGAACGTTGCCATATATGGTACCTTCGATTCTTCAAAAGGCTTCACAAGTCACAGTTGGAACCTCTCACCTCTCAGCCAACTTGAGTCCTTAAAAGAATTAAGGCAGGTCTGTGTATCACAAGACAAATGCATGGGAGTCTGAGGGCTCAGAGAATGTATGACCTTCAGCTCTGTGTCTAGGGGAAAGCACAGACTTCCTCAGAGTTCCGTTAAGTATCAGGGTTGGATCAGGGAAAGGCATAAGCCTGGCAGGCAGAGACTACCACACACTTCTTGTTTTTCATTTATCAGCTGACTTCCTTGCTGACCAAGCATCATTTCTTCAGGCTGCACAGCCCTCCATCACCCAGATGAGGTGTGTTTCTACTAGGCACCATTTCCCTAAACATTCTATGGATGAGTTTAGGCAGAAATAACACATACATATGGATCACAAGCAAGCTGTTTGTCAGTTGGGTATTCAAGCACCTAGGCAAAGAGGTTGGCCTTCCTAGGTGAGTGTGACTGACAAGAGTCAGTGAGCCAATAAATGATAGACCCGAGTCCAAGAAATGAGCTTGAAAAAAAGTGAAGGGGCAAGAAGCTGACTATGGCAGCAGAACCATGTGATAGGCCAGTAAAATACTTGACCCTCTCCTGAAGGCAGGTGAGGACTTTTGGAAATGCAGAAGGGGAAATGCAGAAGAGCATGGAGTTGATGAAATTCTCGTTCTTACAAAGTATTTGTGTTTGGTAGTTATGAGATAAAAATTTGGAAAGAATTTAAAAGTATTTTCATATGTGAAAATTATTATTAATACCCTGGTGCCTAAGGCCAATTGCAAGAGGAATATGTCTTCCCTGGTTCCAGTCCCTGAAGGGACAGTGAACTTGTCCTGTGCATCCAAGATTCCCAAAACTCTGCATCAACCTTTCAGTATTGGAAGAAATTTTTGATTGTTTATTCATTCATTATTTCAACCAATATTTAATTTCTTCCTAATTCATCAAAAGCAACTGTTTTTTGACCAATGTTGGTCTCTGTACTAGTTGCAAGTGTAGAGAGTGGAGTGATAAGGCAAAGTTTTGTTTTTATAAGGAGTGAAAATGACACAAACACATCAGGAAAAATATTAGTGATTTCAAGTTTAGTACAGGAAGGCATGGCCTGACCACCTGAGGGCAATGCCTGAGTGTTCCCAGCACTGATTCTGAGGATTCCTGCAGGTTCTAGAGTAAAAAATAACTCTCCATTTATTATCATTCCCCAGCCCAGAATCTATCCCTCTGAGCTGAGGAAGCTTAAGAAGAGAGCATCTCAACCAATGATTGGCCTAGCAAACCACAGACATTAATAAAATCCCAAGTTGGAAGAAGGGGTGGGGCTATGGCTGCAGACAGACCTTGGGTGACCCTGATGAGCTTCTCCTCCTGGTCTGTGTGACTCTGCTTTAGAGACTGTATGTCCCTGTGCCTCAGTTTCTTTTCCATGGAGGAGGATGCATATTTGGCTGTCAGGTGTCAATGTATTAATCATACTATATGCACAGTATCTGACCTTGAATCTTGGGATAGGGCAGCTGCTCAGACAAGAGGCATCTGCTATTGATTGAATCCCAGAGATGATTCCCTCAGCTGATCCCTGGTGGACACGGAGCTGCCAGGAGCATCTTTTCTCCTCAGTTTCTCCCTGAAGATGCTGACCTCTCTATGGACACCCCCTAAGTCCCCCCAGAAGAGTTGCAGGATCCTTGCAACTCTAATGATGCAGGATCCTTGTCCATCTGTGCTCCCCACCCACAGTGCCATCCTTGTTCAAATGTGGTTGTAGGGGCTGAGCCCTGGCTGATGACCAGCTTAGGAGACCTGTGGCTCAGGCACCCTGGGAATTGTTGCTCCCAATCAGCTCCTTTAAGGAAGCCCAACTCAACCTGACACAGGCTCCCCAGGCTCTTTGGAGCCAGGAGCTCTGGGACAGGGGTCTGGAGAGTGGCTGACTATGCTGAGCTGTTGTGAGAATTCCAGGGAGCTCCTCAGGCCAGGCTATTATGGAGCCCTGCAGGGTCATCTCAGGGTCAGGGTCATCTCAGGGTCAGGGTCAGGGAAAGGACCCTAAGGGGCCAAACTGAGACTGGTCTCCTCCCCCTGCTGAGTTACTCTCATCGAAGTGGTCTTTCTGTCCTCACTGAATGTCATCAGGGTGGAATCTGGGAAGGGAACAGAAATCTTGGGAAGTTTGTCTCCACTGTATCCTGTCAAATGCCAAAGCTTCACCTGGGAGGTGATGCAGAGGGGGATGGAGGCAGAGTCTAGGTCTGTCAGTCCTGAGTGTGAAGTAGAATTCACCCCCACCCCCACCACCGACACCCAGAGGTCAGAGAGGAATCACTCACCAAACACACGGAGGCGACCAAATCCTATTTCTTTTATACGATTTTGAAGATGCACCACGACAGTGTAGTATCCTGCATGCTTTAAGGTGACCTTCTTAATCAGCATGGATCCTTCCTTGTCTATTATTTCTCGACCGCTAAATTCAGGCCCCTTTCCCAGTTCTTTTTTGTACGTTACAATAGCTGCGATATAACGATTCGGGTTCGCCCCTCGTCCTTTGTACCAAATGATGATATTCGCATTCGGAGGCTTGTTGCGCATGCGCAGAAGCACATCTGCGCCTTCGGCAGCAGTGGTTGACACAATAGCGAGTTGAGCAGAGGTGGGCAGGCTCCAGAAGGTTACAAGTGAAACTAGGAGAAAAGAAAAAAGTGATTAATATTCGCATGTATGTAATGGACTTACAAGATGAAGCCCTAAATCCTGAGCAAGCCTCTTCATCTCTCAGCTTTGGTCTGGGTGTGAGTGTGAGTTTGTGTGTGTGTCTCTTGTTGTCCAGGTCAGCAGCATGGCCACTTTTACTTCAGAACCTCTAAACCTGTTATTTTTTTTCTGTTTCCAATACACTTGTCCAGCTGTCTCTTGGCTCACCCCCCCTCACTGCCCTCAGGCTTTTGCTGACACTCAGGGTGTCCTTGGGCAGACACCTCCTTTTACCAATGTTTGTGAAGACCTCTCTGTACTCTGTTGCTTTCATGACACTTGTGGGGACCTGACATCACATCCACATCTTTCCCTGCCCCTCTCCTCTTCATAGAACTTGCGCTCCATGAGCGTGTGGGCCTGTCTGATCCTGCTGAGTCTCAAGTACTTTCTGTAGGCTGCCAGCACCTGTGAATGAATGAATGAATGAATGAATGAATGAATGAATGAATGAGTATTCTCCACATCCTTCCTTTTCTGTGTTGTGCTCACTCATTTCTGAGGTTGGCGGTAAGGACGATGCTCAGCATTTTTGATTAAAATTTTCTCTTGTTGCCTCGCATAAAATGTTACTATTATTATCAACAGTTTTGAAAATTCCATACTCAGTGATGAATAACTTAGAATGAACAGCCATTGAGACTTTCCTGTTCCTCACCACTTCCAGGTCATGAGATCTTCCTGCTGCTGTTTCCCCTTCTTCATCCCAATCTTCTCTTTTGCCCTCTCCCCTGAGGTCCTACAGACGCCCTCTCTAACCTCTGAGTGCTGTGTTCCACAAGAGATTTCAACAACTTTGGTCTCCCATCCTCCAGTCCACCCCCCCCCCAGGGATTGTCCCCTTTTTACCGGTCAGCAGTAGCCTGTGCCAGAGGACAAATTTTCTGCAAGTGCCAGCTGAGGGGGAGTCCATAATGTCTGCTGACTGCTCCGTTCGCTCCGCTGCAAGAAGAGCTTGAGGTCTAGTAAGAATCACAGGCACTTCTGTACCCACTGGTGGGATCTGCTGTCCCTTCTCCCTGCGTGCTAAGCCTTTTCCTGGGGCAAGGTTACTTCCCTGGCTATAATGAGCCAGGGGCGGGGCCTGTTCCCAGGACTCTTCCTCTCCCTTTCCTTATTTATGCTACAGCTGTGCCTTCAGTTTTGTTTACCTTTGTGTACATTTCTGTTCTATGGAAACGGCTAAAGACCATGAACACACACGCACACGCACACACACACACACACACACACACACATTCACAACCTGTGTTACCTCTGTCAGGTACACAGTAACCTCTTTGTAACTCCCCCTTTTTTTTACATTTCACATTTTCCTTCAGGGTGAGAGTCCTGGATGGACCTCAGGAAAACTTGCCACAGGGATTTTGTCACGCCCTCTGTGCATCAGATCAACTGTGAAACTTTGTAAAGATTGTGATGCCCAGGTCACATTTCAAAATGCCTTTACAGAAGCTGTCCATCAAACTGGATGCCCATCAATAACGAGATCCTATGATTTGAATTTGGCACAGGAGTGTCTCTAGATCCACCCCCTGTGGACATGGAGTGTCTCTAGATCCTGGTAAAGAACAGATCCTGATTTGGCAGGTGTGCAGAAGATGAGACTCTATCTGACAAACGCTCAGCAGAGGTTCATCTTATTGGTTTGTGGATCTCACTTGCAATAGCAAGTATTCTGGGGACACTTGTTTCCCTGAGGGGATGACCCACTCACACTAGCACTGACCTCTACTGTGTCTTGGTCCTGTGTATGTCAGCACCACAGAGAGAGTCCCAGGAGTCCCCAAACCTCAGTGATATTTCTGTTTGTGACACAGAAACCCAGCTGAGAGCCAGGTCTTCCCCATGTTCTCAAATGCTCTGAGAAGGTTGTATTTCCTCCCAGCAGGAAGGTCGCAGACAAAACTCTAAAGGTAGAAGTGGTAAAGCTGGGTGATGATTGCAGAGGGGACCCTTCTTCTATCTCAGGCTTTCAACAGACTGGCCTCTGCTTCCAGAGACAAAGACAGAAAAACATAAGTTTCAGTAGGACCTGCAGTTTGGCGTGTGAAGTGGGAGGTGTCCTGCATGTCCCAGGAAGAAGGAACCGTGGTGAAAGGTCAGGAGCCTGCGGGCATCCAGGTTCTCAGGGCACATTTTCCGGTAGACCATTCCTCTCCATGTCTGTTTGTCAGGCTCGTCCTTGTGCTCACTGATTGTTGGGAAAACCTCTGGTCTCTGCCTGGAAGGCTTTCTTGTGCTTACTCTGCTGAGACCGTGGATGGTATAAGGCATGGCATAGGGAGCAGCAGAGCAACCCCTGAGAGAGGAGGTGCTCCTAGGCCCTGTCAAAGTAAGAAATGTCCAGACATGTAAACCACTTTTGTAAGTGTATCTGAGACAAACTGACATCATATTTGTGAGATCAAGTTCTGAAATCTTGTGAGTAACACAAGTTTTGAAGCTTATTGTACATTATAAACAGAGAAGAAAAAAGTTGCTTGAAATCAACTGAGGTAAAAGAAAACATAGCTGGGAAATCTCTAAAACTGGATAAAAGGCAAAATGATGAAATACATTTTTTTTGCAATAGTGGGAACATGGTAATTAACATTCACAGCACATACACAGGGTAGGCAGGAAGCCAGAGAACACGAGAAGCTCTATGGTCTCCTATTCTGGAGCCAGAGCTCTGCCTTTCAATGGTTTAACAAAGAAAACTACTCTAACCTGTTAGAGGTACATTATCCAAGATGCCTAAACAGGAGACAGGGCTCACTTAAGGTGGTCTGGCCTTTGCTGAGAAAGCTCTATGCCTGGGATGTAACTATCTGCCCTCACCTGCCTGGTTAGGAATTTCTGGTCACAGCATCTTGTGTGGTTACTTTTGCTCACTGAGCTTGTCACATTTATTGTGTGGCACCTTTTTCTGTTCCTTTTTTTGTTCACAGTCTCACAAAGGAACATGTAGGACAGAGGTGGCATGAGGGAGGGGCTCAGAAGGGCCTTTAGGGCAGGGCATGAAATAAGGTCTCTTCTCTACCCCTCAGCCAAAGCCAGGGTTATGTATGAGTTCCCTGTGTTGTCTGTGAGGCTCAGTGTCACTCTTTGGAGGGAAGATGAAGATTTTCCACCAATGCAGATGCTGTACCAGGGATGCTGATCAGGCTCCAGAGGATGGGAGTTGACCCTGAGCCCAGGACAGAGGGGGACTCTGACTTCCAGGCTGAGAGAACAGTGAGTCAGGACTCTGTCTCTGCGAGTCCCTGGCCTCCTGACTCTATCCCAGTGCAAGGTGAGCCCAGTGAGAAGATAGACACTGTGCAGAGAGTCCTGAGTCCATTGTCAGGAGAAGCTTCTCCTTAGGGAAATGGTCTCCTTGAAAAGTAGATTCTGGCCCCAAGGTTCAAAACTAAGTGTGGGGGCTCCTGCGAGAGTTTTTGAAAGCTTTGACAGAGGATTTTGGCCTGAAGTGTTAATCCCCACACTGCCCTCTGTGTCCCTCTCATCACAATATTGAAGTGTTGCATCCGAGTCGTCTCTGTCCCTGTCTGTTATCTGCTCCAGGCCTCCCCACAGAACCCAGGAGCTGGAGCAGCTGCACATGGAGACTCAACCAGGGGACCCTGTGGGTTTTTCTGTTCCAGGAGTGCAGGGCCTATGGGGCCCTTCTAAGATGAAGGTAACCACAGATCCTGGGCTTCTCTGTCCCATGCTTCATGGGAAGTGTCCATGGATCCACAGGACAAGCTGGGGTGGAGAGATATCTCCAGGGACCACAGGCAGATGTCCCACAACCAAAGACCTTGGGGATGGGGCATCATTCCCTGAGTTTTTGAAGTCAGGGTGTGCTTGGTCCATCTTTGGTAATAACACTACCTGGGGTGCAGAGAGATGCAGAGAATCTGCCAGGTCAGATCTCTATGAAAAAAGGAAGGAACAGGCTGTTGTTCCAGCCACAAGAAGCTGATGTAACTTCTCAAGGTCACTTACTAGTTGGGGATAGGGAGGGCTGTGATTTTCTGGGAATAAAGGAGGGTCCAACCTATCAGACTTAGGAGATCTCTGTTCTCTCTCCTGACAATACAAGGAGCAAAGGCCCAAACCTAAAACATCTGGAGCCCTTGGTGACCTCCTCCCGTGTGGCCACCAATTTTTTCATGTCTATAATGAACATGCCCTTACCTCAGTGTCACACAGGGGGACAGGCTTCCATTGTGTGTTTTCTCTTATCCATTTATGTGTTGTTTGTCAGGACTTGGGGTGGGCCTGAGAACCCCACAAATTTTATGTGTGTGTGTATGTGTGTGTGTGTATACACACACATACACACACACTGTGCTCATGAAGTTTATTTTCTGAAAGAGAGACAGATTCTCAGATAAACCACAACATTACAAATTTAATGATAAACCAAAGAAGGGCACTGTAGAAACATTTATCCTGCATTAAGAGCATGTACTTGAGTCCAGCTGGTCTGGAAATCACAGAGAACACTTCTGAGAAAGTGGCCTCTTGGTTGAGACCTGAAGTGTGAGTGGCCATTTGCCCATTGAAGGACAGAGGGTGGGCAGGGAGAGCTTCCAGCAGAGGGCTAGATTTGGTGGGAAGACAGCTGGCTGGATGGAAAAGCTGACCGAATCCAGTATGGGGAGCTTGGAGAGTGAGAAGGCCTGTGGACTGACTGGTGCTGGTGAAGCTGAATTCTGCTGAGCTGTGGATGCTGCTGAGGTGAGGTCCACAGTCCCCTGAAGAGTCTCAAGGCAGAGTACATCTGCCACTAACTGATAAACAAGCAGAAAATTGTGCAAGGAAACCCATGTTGCAGTTAGGTATTGTTTTGAGTTCAGTATTTTTCCATTGAACTTGTATTTGAAGTGATATTCATGGGTGTCTATATAATTTTCAACATATCTGTTGAGTTATAGTTGATATATGATAAGCTTACCATACTGGAAAAATACAACTTACTAGGTTTTGCCAGATGGATGCACCAGAGAATTTCTTCAATGAAGATAATAAACACTCCCCTTACTGTTAAAGTCTCCTCAGGCCCTTTTTTAAGTTCTTTTCGTTTTGGCTCTTTCCCACTCCCTTGCCCAGTGTGAAACAAACTATCATCTGCTTTCTGTTCTTATAAGTTAGTTAGCAATTTTTAGAACTTTCAAAATTTAAAACATACAATATGTAATTTTCAGTGAAGGTTGACTTCCTGACTCAACATGAGTATTTTGAAATATTTTTTTTCCTTTATTTTTTACCCCTTAATTCTACTCCATTGTATAGATGCACACTATTTGTTTTCCCATTCACCAGTTCATGGACATTTGTGTTGTTTCCAATTTTGAGCTATTACAAGTGCACCTGCCATGAACAAAATTTGTGCAGAAAGGTCTTTAACACAAAGGATCAGTGCTTGTAAAACCAGTGAAGGGCTAGAGAGATGGAAGGTAGGGAGTTACCACTGGGAATCTGGTCTCAAGGTCAAATGACCCCAGCCTCACCCAGAGGTAAAGAAACACATGCTTCTCCACATAAAGCCGTGTCTGCCACAGCCCACCCATCAGTCACCACAGCAGCAGAATTAATGGTTCCATCTCGCTTCCAGCTTCGGAATTAAACACAAAGTGCACCTCAGAGGCTGAATTTAATTTACATCTACAATCTAAACACGAGGCATTAAAAAATGCTAGCATTTAACCTTGCAGTTCCTCTGATAGAGGAGGAAACATGGAAAGGGGTGTAGCGTGTACACCCAGTGCAGTGCCCACAGACCACACATGGCAAGTCCGAGTCCACTTGCAGGCTGTGTGACTGGGTGTGGTCCCACCTCACAAAAACTCAGATTCCTCAGCTGATAGTCTAGAAAGACACTTGGCCTACTTTCCTTGCTCTTAGAACAGAGAGACTAAAAGTCTTGGAATGTTCTGAGTAATAAGGATGTGTCTTTTGTCC